ATACAGTCGATATCATTTCAATAATCGCCCCGCTGGGTGCAATGGTTCTAGTCCTACTGGTGAAGCTTGCAGTTATTCCGTGGCCCTACCTGCCGCATGCCACTTCGGACATAGCGGTTGGCGTCACCAACGTCAATGACAAGGGACAGTTTTAAAAACATTGTGGCAGGTCGCGCGGCCACCTCAGCGTCGTGACCTGCCTGTGAGACCGTTGCTTTACACTCACCTCCGGGAGATGGACGAGCAAACACCACGAAACGCTTGTCTAGTCCGTCACGCTTGCAATAAGAATTTTCATAGACTTTGACTGATTTTGTCTTTAAAGTAATCAACGATTTGAATTTAACAAAAAAACAAAAAAAAAAAAAAAAAAAAAAAAAAAAAAAAAAAAAAAACCCGTGTTATTTTCGTACCCTACGAAAAAACACTGTTATTCTATGGTTACCACAACAGTATAATGTCACACGGGATTTCACGGTAGTAGAACCGTGGACTTTGGTAAGATTATTGATGAGCAAAGTTACATAATCATGCTCATAGCATTATTGTGCTCACAGTAGTATTACGTGGCCACGCTAAAATCACCGTGATCATTATTACAATAATCAAAACCCACGGTTCTACTACCTTGGAATCCCGTGTGACATTACTATACCGTGGTAACCGTAGAAAAACCATGCTTTTTTTTCTCTATGCATGGAAGAAAATATGAGGAAACCAAAACCTCTAGCAACTTAATTTCGGCAGAAACGGTGCTTGCGGTGCTTGTGATACTTTTCCGGAAGACGACGAATAGACTGATTTAGTTACTACGTCATTCGATATAATATCGAACTCTTGGTTTAAACCAAAACAAACCAACATAACCTCATGTACGAATTCTTCATGAGTTAATTGTGTTAATCTATTAAAATTTAGTCATTGACCGGTCATAAATCAATTAAAGACTCATAAATACGAGAACTTTCGATTGTAAGAAACACTTGGACGCATTTTACCAAAATGGTACAAAGGGCGCGAATCAGAAACAAGGTGCTAAGTTTTTTTTACATTTGAACCAACACCGAAAAAAAAATCTCGAAGTATTTACTATGAAAAGGGCAAATTACCAAGAATTCAGGGTTCTATTTGATCCCAGTTTTTTCTTGGTAAAATTACCATTTATGGAATGGATAATTTTACCGAGAAATCTTGGTAAAATTATTGAACTTTCTCGGTAATTTTATTGGACCTTGGTAAAAACGCCAATATTTTTTATTGACTGTGGTAAAATTAGCGAGATAAAATGGCAAAGTTACCGGGAATTGATTACCAATAAAAGTGTCATTCTTACCTGAAAAACACAGTAAAAATACCGGTTTTTAGGTAAGCTTATCAGTCTGTCTTGGTAAAATTACCAATTACTAGTAAAAAAAGTGAGATGGTAGAGGACCTTGGTAAAAACGCCGAGAATTTTTTTTCAGTGAAGGGCTCGATGTTATATCGAAAAACGTGGCCACTAAATCAGTCTATTGCACGCGACCAGAGTGAGATTTTGGGTCTCGGTGCGGCTGGACATTCTACTCATGTGACCTGCAAAGCCGGCCGAAAGTACAGCGCAGAGATGGGGGAGAGAGTGCCGCGATGCGATTTCTAGTGGCAACAAAAAAGGAAACTTGCAGCCCGGGACTGACCTTACCCAGAGCAAAGCCATCGTGAGATTCATTATCAAAATTGTTCATCACTCGCGTGGAAAGCCTTGCCGGATTGGCGGCAAACACTCGCCTACTTCAGAGCCCTTTCAGGCGCCATCCAAAGGTAATGAAGAGCATATCGACGGCGTAAGTCCGCAACCTCATATCTCTTTTGCGGTGTTTGAAAATCTCCGTCTCAATATTATTATTTTGTTAAAGGAGAACAAATCGAAATCATTCCTTGAAGTTTTTGCAGAATTTCCTTCGCGCAGAGAAGAAAAATCACGGCAGTTTTAAAGAATGGAGAATTTGCAGGTGTCTGAAATTTGATGAATATCGTGTTTAAGTGGAAACTACTGAGTGAACTGAACACGAGGATACCTTTGGTTCGTGAATTGAACAATTATTGGAGAAGATATGACAAAATGATCTGATCTGCTAAAATACGTGTGTTTAAAATGGGAAAAGCCGCCAGGTAACCTCACTAGGCGGTGCATTTTCTCACTATTTCCCATATCAGAAAAAAATTATAAAAAATACTGTGAAATCAGCATTTTCAGATGAAGCAATAAAAAATTTTTATGTAAATTCTCCATTGCCGTTACGCAGTTTTCCATTTAAAAAATAAAGTATGACAGGAAGTCTGCGACGTCGCAAACCGAGATACATATATGTGGTTGCGGACTTACACCGTCGATGTGTGAGGTCCCTGGAGATGTGTTGTTAAAGTTAAGGTCATGTAAACGAGAGCCCACCGGTAAATCAATTCCTTTTCATCGGTTTTTAGAACGTACGTGTCTGAAGCTTTCGAATTTTTCCCATTATATATTAAAATAATATACATATACGCACGCCTCCTAGGTTTAAAGTCAGGAATTGTAACTTTAAACTGACAAAACGTGACATAAGAATTGTAACTCTAACTTGTAAAGTTTCCTGATTTTAAACTTGGAAGGAGTTTACGGGTCTTGTTTTAATATTAAATTAAGAACATTCATGAAGCTTTAAACGTGTACGGTGTAAAATCAGATGAAAATAAAATTGATCTATTTTCTGCTGAGAGCTTTCGTTGACTGAGCCTATTTTG